CAGGAAAACAACCCCAAGATTTGCTGGGTTTCTCCAGAAACACAACCCATCAACATACCCTTAACTGGTCCAGCTTCTCACGGATCTGAATGAATCCCAAGTGCAACTTGCCCCCGAAGTGGTCTGCAAGGCGGCGGTCGTTGTCATGGAGCCCCAGGTAGGCCGAGCAGACCTCACAGACACGCAGCTTCTGCTGCTGAAAGCTGGATGCAGGCATGGAGTTCCTGTACTCTTCCTGGGGATCAGGAAGAGCGTGAACGGAGGGCCACAGAACCACCAACAAATACTCAACCCCCAAAATGGAATATTTGAAGCGACTACAGAGATAGATGACTTTTAAGTAAGAAAAACTGGATCATTTACAAAGCTTCAATATTTGTGAACAATTCAATGTTCATCATTTACTTAAGAAATGAACTAACAGTCATAATTTCAAAGGAACAAAACACTCAGACAAGCAGGATGATGTCTGTTCTCAGAGGCCGGCAGGAGGGCAGGTCTGTCCTGCACTGGAGAACTTTACGAGGACAGCTAAACAACAAGGGAGTCCCTGCCACAGAAGCCTCCCAAATCCAGCACACAAAACAAAACCAAATAAATATGCAATAACCAGAAATGGGACTGCCCGCAACGTCCAAGGAACTACCCCAATGCAGCATTAGTAGTAAAGATTTGGAAGGACCAATAATCCATCAGACGCCGTCTTCTATGAGGAAAGTGCACGCCCTGCTTCAGCCGCCCAGCGGGGAGGCAAAACACAGAACGGGAGAGAAGAGAGGAGCAGGGCGCAGCTGCTGCTGCGGCTGCTCAAGTCAGGAGGAGGACACTCCTTCAGAGTCCAGACATGGGCAGCGCATTCTGGCGGCCTGTGTCCTCCTTACAGGGAGACCTGAATGGGGGTCATCTCCCACTAATTCGCAGGAAAACATTCCCTAGGAAAGGCAAACTGATGTAAGATCCACCTCACGCCTGCCAAGTTGGCAGATGCAGAGACGGACAGTCCCGAATGCTGCTGGCAGGAGCTACGCTTCCACAACTACAGTGGAGAGCAGCTCCGTAATCTTGCTGTGAAAGTGGGACAGTGCGTGCCATTACCAGAAACAGTCCTTCCAGGTCTATGTCCTGGAACACGTTCACACAAGCCAGCACTCAGGCAGGGACACTTGCTGCAGCTGTGTGTAAAGAATGAGAAACTGCCAATGGCCTAGGACACTGCCATGGACAGTCCCGGGCTCATAAAATAGAACCCTACACAGCAACTAACTGAAGAGGGCTGTGTGCAGCTCTAGAGAGACTGAGCTCCCCAACAGTGCAAGGGGGAGAAGGGCACCCACAGTGTGGTTGCTGCAGTCCACACAGCACCCCCCTACTGCTGATAGGTGTACACACGTGTGACGAATCTAAAAACAGAACTGAAGAATGTACGCTGAACGCACACTGACTGGTCTCAGGGAAGGGAGAGAATCGGGACCCAAGAGGGGAACTTTGGGAACTTGAATTTTTGTTATAATATGCTACATCTTTTATTAAAAGGAGGGGGAAAAATACAAGCAACCAGAGTAAAAATGATAAATATGGCGGGCACATGAGTATTTGTGGGATTATTTTCTCTTCCTCAGGTCTTGAAACTTTGAATGCCACCCTCTAGGATCTTTCAAAATGAATTTGTATTGCCGGGTGAAGAATGCCAAACCCTAAAGGGTCTACACTGTGTCCTCCCTTATACGCCACTTGAAATGACCAAAACAAGAAATGGAGGGCAGAGGAGTGGCTGCCCGGGTCAGAGGAGAGGGTGTGGCTATAAAAGGACAGCAGGAGGGATCTCTGTGGGGACAGATGCTCTGTACCTTGGCTGTCAATGTCAACATCCTTTCTGGGATATTGTGCTATGGTTTTAGGAGACGTTACTGCTGAGGGAACCAGGTAGAGAAATCCTGGGCGCAGACGATCTCTGTACTGTTTCTTAAGACTACCAAACACCCTTACCTGCTACCAAGAGCAGAAAGGGCATAGGTGCCACCACACCGGAGACCAGTGCTGCCAGGGCCTCCCCCACCGTCCTGCTTGCTCAAGTCTTTAAGGAATGGTGCACTCAAGGTGGTGGGCACAGGCACCAGGGCAAGGATGCTGGGAGGCCTGGAATAACACCCATGCGTCCCGCACGGCACCCCTGGCTCTGCTGTCTGCAGACATCCATGTGGGGAGCCCCACGTCTATAGTCATTTTAGCCTATGTACAGACTTCTGAGCCACTTGTGGGGCTTGGGGTGTCTGCTCCCTGCTGCTCGTCGAAGCAGGAAGGCCACAGAGCTTCCCTCTGGACTCTCTGGCCTTTCTGGTCGAGCTGTCAGCAACCCATAAGCCTGACTCTGTTTGACATGTAAACACAAACTTCCCATCTAAGATCTAAGTAAAGAAAAGTTTAGGTCCTGTTTAAGGACTTACACACAGGACTTATGTGTAAATGAATATACAGGAATTTCAACCCTGTGCAAAAGGTGGAGTTAAAGACATACGTTATCTCCCAGAAATGAAACTACCCCACATGCCAGGGAACCCTTTCAAATTTGACCCAGTCATGCCTCTGTGGCGATGCCACTCAAGGTACTTGGCTCACAAGCATGACAGGCCACGGCCACACTCATGATCCCATTTTCTTTTGGGATGAACACACCTAAGCATTTATACACAAAAACATCACATTTGTACTGAGAATTCTTTTCTTCTTTCTCCTTTAGGCTCAACAATGGATTATATTACCTATGAATGTCACTGAAGGAGGTACCGGTCTGCCAGGGGCACAAAGCATTATCTCAGCACCCCTTCCAACAGATAAGCGCTGGTGACCTCAACTCCAGCTCTGCGGAGACACCATGGATGCCTTGGAGAGCAGCACTCTGGCACCCCGGGCCTCACGCACTCAGAGCATCACACTGAGCTCCACAGCGAGGTCAGGCACCACGTTGAGCCAGGAACACAGTCACGACTGAAACCGAACCTGCACCAGGACCTGTGCGCCACGTCCTCTTCTCTGCCTGGGCTCCCATCCCACCATCTGGCAACCTCAGCCTGTGGGTCTCAGCTCAGCGGCCTTCCAGGATCACCTTAACTACCTGAGACCCCCCCCCCCACACTGCCCAAAGTCACTCTCAAACTCAGAGCTGGTTTCTCCTGCACAGGTCTCACCCCCACACCCACCCTTCCTTCTGTCTGCACCCCTTCCCACCTCAGTGCTGTCTCCATGACAGTATGGCCTCCCTGGCTTGCTCACAACTAGAGAAGTGCCTGGCACACAGCTGAAGCTTAGCAAGCATTTCCTAAAGGAACACAACTATCCCTGTCCCCAGCTCTACGATTCCCACCACTCTCCAGGCTGGCAAATCCAGTGGTGAGGCTTTGAGACTGGAAGAGTACCCTGTGGGTAGAATAATCTGGGAAGGAAATGGCCATCAACGATTCCAACAGAGTCCTTGACTCAGGTTCGGCACACTTTCAGTGTGTCCTGGCCTGAAACCAGCGGACTCCTTGGACACCACTCCCAGTCCGCACAGGCTCTCTATACCAAAGATGCAGCACTTCTGAGCCCGATCTCATTCTTTACAGCAAGCTGCAGGACAACTGTGGCTCAGGCACATAAACTAAATAAAGAGCACAGCCCGACTGCCAGAGGGCCGAGGGGCAGAAAGCCTGTGTCCATGGGCCTTGACAGGACGTGCACAGACCCTGCTCTGCTGACTCCCACACTCAGGACTGCATTCACACATGGAAGTTGTGCTCAGAGCTGGCAAGTGACTGGTCTGAGGTCACACAGGGGTCACAGCAAAGACAAACCCAAGTGTGCACTGACTCTAAATCCTGCGACCCTGTCCATATACTCATTTCCAACTCCTACCCAATACTCAAAAAAAGAAGAACACGATAATTTTAGCCCAAATGGTCAACTCTCTGGTGTTACTAAGTCACCCCTTTCTCTAGACATTTTTCTCACCAACCTCAGCTTCTTTTTTCTTTGCACGGACTTTCTCCACTTCCATAAGAATTTTCTGAGATTCATCCACATTTCCTTCAGCTCCCAGCTGCTCAGCTTTAGCAAGAAGTTTTCCTATTTCTTCGTTTAATTCATGTACTTTTTCTGCCTGAGGGGAGAGAGAAACAATCAGGGAACAGACACCTAAAGACGAAAGACTTTTAGTGCAGAGTGTACCTTGCTGTATTTCTGGGCTATTCTACTGAGAAAAAATATAGAACAGAAAGCCCCAGATCCTCACTGGATCACAGGCGAATTCTGACAATCCTGATGCCCTTATGGGCTCCACCAGGACTCTGATCACAAACTAAGTCTGTGGGATGCACTCCAAAAACAGGAGCTGCGCCTCTGTCACTCCCAGTGTGGTTGTAAGGATCACACTGATCATTCTCTAGGCTGTCTCTCTTTTATGTCTTTTCACAGAGCTCAGTCTTCTGGGGAAGGGTAGCAAACATCTAGGCTTAAATGCACAAGCTTGTACCATAAGCAAAACACCCAACTACGGGGATTTATTTTCAGAAAATGAAACTGCATCTGTGGGCCAGTTGTCAACTGCATACATCTAACGAAAAGCTTTCACAAGACACGGAGGGAAGAGCAAATGAAGAGACTCAGTGCCGCTCAAGAGGGGACACAGGAGCAGCGCAGCTCCCACACACAGACCTTCACTCCATGATGTGGACGCTACACATGTTAACCATGTCTGCATTAGCTTTCTCCCATTTCTTGTTTTACGTGGGGATGTTAAAAAACAAACTTTAAAAGGCACATACTGTATGGGGAGGGCCAGAGGCAGCAGCTCCCGGAGACCGAGAGCTCGCTGGCAGCCTTCCCTCCTCCACAGGAGCCCCCCCGATCCCTGAGGACCACCCGCCCTGGGATGCACAATTCAGTGCTGTCGGCTCACTGTGCTGATGGCAGATTTACGCACAGCACCCACAGGATGCTTTGCGCCAATGCTCCCATGAGTGGTACCTTTGCAGAAACTTCCGCGCTGATCTCCTCCTGTGTCTCTGCCAGCCGCTTCTTAGCAAGCTCAGTTCTCCTGTCACACTCGGCAATAAAGGACTCCAAGTGATCCATTGCCTAGCTCAGGAGAAGCAGAGCTGCGATTAATTACTAGTAAGGTCCCAGAACCTATCTGCTTGATAGGAACACGCTCCTGGGTTGGTTTCTTAGAGCCTGTAGGTTCAGTGGGAAGATCTTAAACTGTACTACAATCAACCCGTCCATAATCGCATTAAATCAAGGGGCTTCATTAAATTGATTTCAGAAACAAGGTCTTCTCATCTGATTCCCAAAATCTGCGGAAGGACCCCCATCCCTCAGTAACATTTCCAAGAAAACTCTGAGGAAATTAAAGCACTCAGCCATGATTAATAGTGTCCTGAGGACAGAAGGCTGGGCGGAGACTGGTAAGAGGCCCTCCTCTGCGGAGTGTGGGGCGCATGTGAGGTACTCACTGGTCCTTTGTGAGCCACGTAAATACTACTCCCCCATGCTCTGAGGGTAGAGCTCCCCCTTCCACCTCAAAACAAAACAATAGAACAAGTATTACTGCGAGCTGGTTACCACTTACCCACAAGACGCAAGAACTAGAGATCTGATTCCTTACCCGGAAGAGTCTGTGGGACCTACAGGAACACTGACAAGCAGCTACCTTGTCATCAAGAGTCAAAGGCCCCAGCACAACTCCATATCGACATACAAACAGGACATCATGTTTCCAGCCATGAAGCTGGGTGGTCACCTTTTCAGTCCCCTGCGAGTCAGCTAATGTCAGCAACGTGTTAAGTGTGTAAGCAGTGGATGAGAGTGTTGGACTGTATGTTCTATCACTAAAAAAATACAACAGAAAATTTGGGGTAGAGATGATAGTAAGGCAGACCAAAGTTAGGCCGACAGACCAAGTGGTGCCAATCCATGTCCCTCCCCACAAAACTGGCCAGGGGAGAGCAGTGCTCCACGAGAATCAGCGTGACACTGGAGTGGACAAAAGGGACACCCCTGGAGAGACAGGGTCTCCTCCAGAAATGCCCAAGGCAACTCCCAAATAAACGCACACTTGGCGGCAGGTCAAGACAGGGCAGAGGCTCTGCGGGTGCTGAGTCCCCCAGGATACTGCAAAGAGGCTAAAGCATCACCATCCACCGAGGCCAGCTCAGATTTCACTGTATTTCCAGTGATTGATTTGGGAACTCGCAACCTCTTTCTTATCACTGGTCATCCGAATATGGAAAGTAAATGATTGCCATTGGTTTGCCAACATACATGTGCTTCCCAGAAGGATGTTGAGTTGCCCGGTCCTGCTGACAGGTTTGGGACTCACTATGATCAAAGTCCCAGTGAGAGGATATGGATCACATTCCACTGGCACTCACCTGGGACAGCAGCTCCTAGCAGGCCAGCCTCTGATGCCCAGGTTTGCCCATGCACAGCCCTGAGACTTTGGCGCAGGGTCCCTCTATTGTCTACCTGAAGGAGTGACGTCACACCTGAGGCAGGCCCAGGGACCCACTCATCAGGAGTGAGGGACAGACATCTGACAACCCTGCTAATGACTTTAACCAGTCAAATCAACCACCTGCACCTTAGGCAGAACCCAAATCAGCTGCAGACTCAAACATCTGATCAAGCTAAAAACTAAATGGTAAACTCTGCAACACAGAATAGGCGACCACAAACATGTCTCATAACTGCCACATTCTTTAAAAAACACTCTGTCCTACTGTCCTCCCTCCCTCTCTTCAATGTCCTTCTCCATTCATATTGGTTCCTAAATCAAAGAGCACGTTTAAATGATTAGAAGAGAAAAAAAAGTATTCGGGTCTAAAAAATGACATCCTAATCACAAGCTACCACTTACTAGATAGTCTTCCAACCTCTACATCAGGGTCACGAGGAGACATGACCCACTGAGAGTGGCTGCGCAGAGTGCTGGCACATGGCAGGCACCCAGGCTGGGGCTGTCCCAGCTCTGCCTGCCCACAGCAGCACACCCGCTGGAGAGCCTGAAGCAAGCCCATGAGGTCAGCAGAACATCCCGAGAGCAGGAGCCCTGGGCAATAGTGTGAACAGCAGCGCAGCCTCCGATGGTCTGTTTCCCAGATGAAGAAACTGAGGTGCCATTTCCAAAGTGGTAAGGGACAGCAACAGGACCCTTGTGATTTGGCTCCAAAGTCTCTACACTTAATCCTCTCATCACCAGCTCTACTTACAGATGGGTAGGAAGAGTGAATAACCTGCCCAAGGTCACAGAGGGGTTTTAACCCAGGATACCGGGCCTGGAAACACAGAACTGTTATACTGGGCATCTGAAAGACAGAAGAGTAGGTACAACCACAACTGGTCTCATTTGGTGAATCAAAGACAGTTTGGAAATTAGCTGACATGGTGTGGAGTTCTGGAAACCTGTCAAATAACCATCACAAACTAGGAAAAAGATCAACTATATTTTCACTACATTTCAGAGAAACATATTCTATACATTTTCAACATGTGAACACTAAAGCAATGTACTGCTCTCTAACTCAAAAATTAAGTTAATGTCAGTTCATATTGCTCGTTGGTAGTGTTCGAGTTGAGAAGTTCAGATGTATTTCTACAGATCACCTAATAGCAACAATTACACACCCTCTCCTAAGCAGTGTCTGGATAAAACACCCTTGAGAAATCAAGGGCTGGCCCTGGTGTGGTCGGGCTGAGGCTCCATCAGGCACCTTGGCCCAGATGAAATACCCGAGTCTGGGTGGGTCCTGTACGGGAGAGTGCCAGAGGCTCCCCCCCATCAAGCTCAAGCTGGGGGTCTGGGCAGGGGTTGTCTACACAAGGAAACACCTTTATGACAACCATGTCAGGCCCACAAAGAAAAACCTTTTTATGGCTCTGACTGGCAAGGACCCAAAAGCTTATTAACTTGTGTTAGTGAGGATGTGAGATGGACTCTCCTACACAGTGGCAGGAGCGCTCACCACCGGGGGACACCGTGGCGCTATCTCCAAGTGATGGGGGCACGTGCCTTCCTGACCCGACAGCTCCGCCTCTAGGGACTGTTCCCAGGTACAGTCGGTGTGCCAACATGTACCACAGCACCATGGCCACCGACAGGCTGGCCACAAAACACAGGCACCTGTCCTTTGAATACTACACAGTCATCAGATGGAACAAGGACACTCAGCAACAGAAAATAATCTCATAATCTCAAAGGTATGGGGGGTGGGGGAGACAGGTGTGGAGTACTGTACCGTAGACTACTATTTGTGTGAAAAAAGGAGTAATAGATGTACCTTCCCCCCAGGTATCCACATAAGCTCTAAAGGAAATGCAAAAAACCTAACAACTAGCTCTCTGGGGGCAACCAGAACAGAGCAGGAAAAAGGTTTCACAGTATATTTTTTGTACCTTTTAAATTTTGAACCATGTAAGTGTTCTGCACGTTTTTAAATTAATACAGGCATTGCAAACCTAGCGAAATCACCCATCTAGGCGATAATCCTCAACTGCTGCTTAAAGCACAAGGCCAAGGACTGCTGTGGACCTTCACGATCCCCAGGTCAAGCTGCCTGCAGCCCCCGAGAGCGCTGACAAGCATGCCACCTGAGGTGACGCAGCACAGGGCTCTGCTCCGAGCCAACTGGTCAGGAGGGAAGAACTTAAATCTGAGTTAAACGACATAATGAGGACACAATCAGCAAGACACGGGATATGAGAGACTTAAAAATTAATTTCTTCAAAGATTCTAAAAGACTTACAAAAGCATTCTAATGTGTAGCCTTATTTGGGGTCCTGAATCAACAAAGTAACTAAAAAAAATCCTTTTTGTGACAATCTGGGACATTTGAACACTACTAGATGATGTTAAGAATTTTTTTAAATTATGATTATTTTTAATAAAGTTAAAAATATGGTTTGCAATATATATATGAAATTCTATGTGTATGAGCTACTATAAATCAGGTGGAAAAACGATTAAGAATTAAAAAAGAGTCTTCACATCAATACTTCACTGAAAACTGGGAGATGAAACCCTGAGATCTTAAAGTATTATTCTGTTCACTTCCCTATCTTTAATATCTTCCTTAACATGTTCTTAAAAACATGTTAGGTAGATCCTGCCACACATACTCTAAAGAGAACTTAAGAGCCAGTGACAGCGCTGAAAAATCTAGATGAAATGACAGGATGTATGAGCTTTGTGAGAGCAGTGGGTTCACAGAAGAAACAAAGTTGGCCATGAGATGATATTCGTGAGTGCTGGATACAAGGAGATTCATTATGTTAATAACTACACCTGCTTTTGATGTTTGAAATTTTTCATTAAAAAAATCCCTGGTAATCTTCTCTAGTCTTTTTCTTTTTTGTAGAAAAATATTCCATTTAATCATAGCTTTAAACTGTTCAAAGTTCTGTAAGCACAGTTCTCTACCTCCTTTTTGCCAGCAGTCTCAGAACTGACCTACACCCCATTACTGCACTGGATGGGACACAGGCTTCCAGCAACTGCCCTGAGACAGTCTACTGAAGAGCTGACCCATCAAGGCCAACTGTGGCATTTGAGAAGCAACTGTTGCCTTAAAAAATTGTTCGCTTCCTTGCATTATAAAGCAGTGGTAAGGGACTGCCTCCAGAGAGGGGAAGGCCACGGGGAAGAAGGCTGGAGGGCTTTTACCTTTTTATAAAAGCCTCGTCTGAATCCTGAGATTGAGCAATACATGTTCAATAAGAGCACACAAAAAAGCTGGGTTGAAATCTCCAAAGCATAAAATTCTGTGAGTTTGTCCTGACCCTATCATAATTTTAAGCCATTAAAGCCATTAAACAGGTTTCATATGCAGTTTCAAGGGCACAGTCTATGATATGAGTGCATCAAATATACGCATTTGTTTCCTTATTTTTATTGCGTCTAATTTTTTAATCATAAACAACCTACCACAAACATATTTGCATACCAATGTTTGCCTAAATTTCCAACTACCTCCTTCAGATAGAGATTTACAGAAATAGGTCACAAGACAGAAATACTTTTATGTTTGCATTTCTGCCTATTAGCTATGTGACTGGACCAAGTAACCCTACATGACACAGAAAATGTAATTATTTCTCCTTCCCTCCCTCAAGAATTAATCACTTGAGAGTTTACCTTTTAAAAGTGAACTAAAATGCATATGCAAGCACACAATTTTTATTCCCAGCAAACAGGGTCATTTTGTAAGTTTGCTTTTTTCTTTTTCACATCAGTGCACACGTCTCTGGCTCTACAGCTGGGCAGGATTTCATTTTACTTGGACTACTTTAAACCATCAAATTAGTACATACTTGGGTTTTTTAAATTTTCCATAAATTCAAAATGATGAAAAACATATCTTCCAATACAAAGGCAAATATTCTTCTAGAACAGTTTCTTATAAATTGCTTAGAGGTGACTCAAAGTCTATAAATGTTTCAAGTTTTTGTAAGAGCCTGTAATATAAAAAAAATTGGCTAAACTACCATTGTAACAGTACCATCTATTATGCACAGCTTTCACTTTAATGATCTGACTCCAATAATCTGTGTCTAAAAAATATCTTATAAAAAAATGGCTTAAAATCAAATGCCTGTTGTATTTAATATATTTGGTAAAAAATTTCAGTATTAAAACTAATGCTGTCTTTTTGCTGTCAGTTGTCTCTGAATATAACCTAGATACAAAGAGCTCCTGAATATGCCTGCTGACCCACTGAATGGGGGCTGCTTCCCCTCCCAGAGTCACATGCTGCTGCCCATTAATTCTGGCAAATAACATCAAACTTACAGTACTTGCAGAGGCTCTGGAGGTAAATGCTTGGCCCATCTCACAGAATTATTGCCCACAAAGAACATTCTACCAAAATACTCGGTGAGTTACAAAAACCTAAGTTATTGAGAAAAATCAGAACAAGTCATGGATTAGTGATGGCTTAGAATTTGTGAAAATGAAGCCTGTGTCACCTCTCATTAGTGAAGATCACACAACAGCCCTTCCAGAAACCAACCTCAGCATGTCCCCATGGGAGCTGCTGGTTCTACGCCTGACGCTTGGGCAGTGGGTGGACGCACAGCAGTCTGGGAGCCTAGCCACCAGCAGCAGGTCATCAGGAAGCAGCCCACTGGTCACACCTGGCCACAAAGCTTCCGCGGTGTCCCCCTTATCAAAAGTGCAATTCTTACAAGAAAAAAACACAACCAGTCTTTTCTGGTAAATGTACTTGTTCATCCTGAATCGACTACCTTTGAAAGATACAAGAGACCTCCAGACAGAGGTCCTAAATGGCTGGTCACATGGAAAGGGGAGACTTTACCAGACAGCCTTGCAGAGCTCTGGAATCTGTTGTGTTATTTTAATCTATACTGAGAAAAGACTATTTTTCTTCTAAGTTTACTACTCATAACTAAGGAAATAAAACGGTATTTTAGCTTGATATTTTAAAGCTTGATACACTGAAGTAACCCAAGCATATCCACACTGGCATGTATAATTAAAGCTTTTAAGATAGGGTCAAATTTATAGCATGTGAATTATATCTTAATGCCATTATTTAAAAAAACCTTTTAAGGCAAAATCTCCCTAACACTCAGAGGTATCTGCTTAGAACTTCATCAAGACATCATTTCACTGTATGACAGGACCACAAATTCTGTTGCCAATCTCCCATTAAAAGTTACATTACAGCCTTTTTTCCCTTTTTAACAAGTTGCAATGAGCATCTTTTCTATGTACTCATCTGCACACATTCCCAGCTGTGGAGTCCTGGAACACACATGCACCTGGCATGCTGACAGTACGACAGACTGCTTTCCTACAAACACAGCCGCCCTACGCTGGCCTTCATGCTTCGGGGCAGGGGACCTCTGTCATGTGTTTACAGCAGTGGTCATCAAATTTAATATGAGCTATTTGTAGGGTCAAAATGATTTCAGGAGGTGAGGGGGTGGCTAGCTTTTGCAATTAATGGAAAAAGTAATTCCTCTGTATGGTGAACTTCTATATAGTACCTACTCTAGCCCTCCAAGACAAAAGCGTTCACGATTTCCTAACGTCCTCTGAAAAGACCTCTGCACACCCAAGCATGACATCAAGTATGAATCACCATCCCTTTCTGAAAAGCACACTATGGAAGCAAATCATACTTTTTTGCTTTTCCACTTTCTCTTGGAGGTAATTTCACATTAACACACTGAACCACCTCCTTCTCTTTTCTTACAGCTGTCTGTCTGTCATTCACTGTAAAGACAGGCTATAATTTAGCCAGTCCCTTATGGAGGAAATCTGGTTCCTGCTTTTTGCAGTTAAACAATGCTACAGAATATTCTGGCACAAACTTCTCTTTGGACATAGGCAAGGATACAAGATAGATATACTCTCAGAACTGGCACTGCTGGGAGGTACACTCACAGCTTGATATGTTGAATTACTCAGGTGTTTCAGGGTTACTTAATTCTTCATCTCTTTAGCTTTTGAGTGAGGGTGAGCACCTGCCACAGGATTAGATGCCAGCTAGGAAATGTTCTTTGCCCAGTTTCTGAGCTACAGACACCATCTCTTCAACCCTGACACGTTTTATGTACAAAGTAAACTAGGCCATAATCACACAACACTGCAATATTTTGTCCCAGTTTATTGTTATATATTATATATTGGAGTTTTTGATTTGCTAATACTTAGTTTTCATACAACAAATGTGTCTTCCTCACAGCTTCTAGGCTTTATAAAGCCTGACATCTGAAGATAACAAAACAAAATTCACTTTTGGGGGATCCAACTTGGGTCTTTTCCAAGTGGTTAATCCGTAGTTTTCTACACTGTCCACTGAAAAATCTTACTTCTCCACACTGGATGAACATACACTCTTTATATACTTAATTTGCTGTATGTTTTTAGTCTCCTTCTGTAGTCTCAATTTCTTCTACTCATCAGTACTCTACCATTAAATTAATCAGGCCATTTAAGACATTTGGATTTAGAAGAAATGCCAAGATTTGTGAACCAAAAAACATTACTAAAACTGATGTTTCAACCTATGTATCTATATACTTATCTGAAACCTGATATCCCAAGATAATGGCCTCTTTACATATCCATTTTCCGACTATTGAAGAATTAACCAAGAATTGGTCTTTGTAACCACTTTTTTAAAAAAATATATAGTTAATATTTATTTTATGGCTTCTTTCAATCATTAGTTTACCTTAAGTCCTTACACTTGGTTACCACAGTCCTACAAACATCAGAATTTTCTAAGAGCTTATTTTACATAATTATTAAAGGTATACTGAATCACATGTGCTAAGTATAGAGTGATTTTTAAATTTTGGAAATTTCTTATACATTAGCATTTTATTTTTAAAAATTTATTTTTACCTATTGGAATTTATTTATTTTATTTTATTTTATTTTATTTTATTATTATTTTTTTTTGAGAGGGCATCTCTCATATTTATTGATCAAATGGTTGTTAACAACAATAAAATTCAGTATGGGGGGGGTCAATGCTCAATGTGTAACCACTTTTTAAGCCTACTCATTTTAAAGAGAATTTACTCCAGCTAAAGTAACACCCGCTAAGACTGTCCCTCGGAGTCCCCTCTCTGGCCGCGGCATACCTCGCTCAGCCCCTTTTCAGTGTCCACTTAGGAACCTGAACCAAACCCCTTCACTGACCTCTGGTCATACCAGCAACTGAGACTCAAGGAAAGGAAAAATTACAATGGACTGACTCTAAACCATGCATTCTCAATATGGGCAAAGGTGAAAACTGGTCTTACAGGGCGAAAAATAATCTAATGTTATTACAATGGCTTGTGGCCTGGAAAGGATGGCAGTACTTGAAATGATATGCAGGATACTGGTAGTATCAAAATGTCATGGAGGGAAGCAGATGGTTTAGGAAAAAAGAAAGTCTCCTCTGGGAGACAGTAATAAAAAAAACTGTGAAATGTCATTTTACTAACATTAAGTGGCAAAAATTTAATAATTTTTGATAACAGCAAGTGTTGGTGAGGGTGTAGACACTGCTCTTGGGGATATAAGTTTTATCAAACAATAGAAAGAAAAAGACATTATAAAACTATCTTGCGAGGATGAACAATACGTAACCTATGAGCCAGCAATTCTTTTCCTAGGGTATTCTACCTGGGTATTCCTATCTAGAGTGGAAATATACTGTACATAAATCCTGTACATGTGCACCAGGAAGATATTCATGAATATTTATAATACTTGTTCATGTCAGCAAAGAAATGAAAACCTACCCAATCTGAATAAAGAATGGATAAGCAACAATGAAAATCAATCACACCAAACAAAACAGGTAAACAGAAACATAATACTGAATGGAAAAAAGTCACTGAAGACTCTCTACACTATGAAACTGTTTACATAAAGCTCAAACACAAGCAAAAGTAAACATTGAAGAAATCATAAAAATATGTACTAAAAAATATTTTTGAAAGGAAATAATACATAAAAAATGCAGAAGTGTTTGGGAGGTAGACACAAAATGATATTGGACATGTTATAGCTCTCAGCTGGGATGGTGCGATAACAAGTATCTATTATCATTACTTTACTTCGTAATTTACAATGTTATATTATTTTCATTCCACATTTGGCTCTTCACAGGAGGGATGAATTAACACCACATAAAACTTACATCTAATTCAAAAAACAGGTCTCTTTCTTTACTTGCAATCTCATAATCAGCTCGGAGGGCCAAGTCGTGGATTTTGGTACATTCTCCTAAATCCATGCGCTGTGAGAAAGAAACAAAAAATTTACAAATGAACATCAACTAACTGTAGAAATCACATCACCTGGTGTTTCAACTGTCACCAAAAATAAACAGTACTTTTTTGAATACTAAACTGTGAGAAAATTAAGAAACAGAATACATGAATCACTATGTTGTGTACTTAAAACTGATACAATATTGTTCATCAACTATATATCAATTAAAAAAAAAAGAAAACAGTGTATGGCTGAGAGCCTTATTTTTCTTTCACCACAATGATTATATGAAACTAGGCACAGATGCATTTAACAGTGTAAATAAAGGTTTCTATCTTTTAGACCCAGACATAACTGGACTAATAATGAAAACACATTAATTAGCCTTTGCCAGTTTTACTTTTACATCAGTCAGGTAAGAAATGTCTATTCAGTGCATAGTGGGTATGCGTGAGTGACAACGAAAAGGCCAGAAAACAAGTGCACCAAGTGCACCAACGACAGCAACAAGGTTCTCAGCATTCCTTCTTCCAGCCTTGACTTACTCAAGATGCTCAACACCTGAGCTGCAGACACAAGAAAAGGAAAGTGCAGACAGAAATCAGGTATCAGGTTTGACAATTATAACACAACCTAACCCTTGGGAGAAAAAAGCAGGAGTTGCAGTACTTGTATTAGACAAAATAGACTTCAAAACAAAGAAAGTCACAAGAGACAAAGATGGACATTACATAATGATAAAGGGGTCAATTTAACAAGAAGATATAACCATTATAAATATTTATGCTCCCAACACAAGAGCACTAACATATGTGAAACAAATACTAACAGAATTAAAAGGGGAAATAGAATGTGATGCATTCATTCTAAGAGACTTCTGAAGGACAGATCAACCAGACAGAAAATAAGTAAGGAGACAGAGGCATTGAACAACACACTAGAACAGATGGACCTAACAGACATCTACAGAACTCTCCATCCAAAAGCAGCAGAATACACATTCTTCTCAAGTGCACACGGAACATTTTCAAGAATAGATCATATTCTAGGCCATAAAAAGAGCCTCGGTAAATTCAAAAAGACAGAAATTGTACCAACCAGTTTCTCAAGACCACAAAGGTATGAAACTAGAAATAAATTACGCAAAGAAAGTGAAAAATCCCACAAACACATGGAGGCTTCACAACATGCTACTAAATAACCAATGGATCAATGACCAAATAAAAACAGAGATCAAGCAATATATGGAGACAAATGACAACAATAATTCAACACCGCAAAATGTGTGGGACGCAGCCAAGGCTGTGCGCTAAGAGGACAGTATATTGCAACACAGGCATACCTCAGGAAAGAAGAACAATCCCATATGAGCAGTCTAAACTCACAATTAACGAAAGTAGAAAAAGAAGAACAAATGAGGCCCAAAGTCAGTAGGAGGGACATAATAAAGATTAGAGAAGAAATAAATAAAATCAAGAAGAATAAAACAATAGAAAGAATCAATGAAAGCAAGAGCTGGTTCTTTGAGAAAATAAACAAAATAGATAAACCCCCAGGCAGACTTATCAAGAAAAAAAGAGCAAAATATATAAAGAGCTCACACACCTCAACAAACATAAAGCAAATAATCCAATTAAAAAATGGGCAGAGGAGCTGAATACAGTTCTCTAAAGAA